AAAATTTTTTTAAAAGTTCCGGTTCCGGTTTAGCAAACCGATAATTTTATCAAAAGTTATGATAAATTTAAAAAAAATCAAGCGTTCCAAATATTCTCAGACAGTTTGAAAAAATACCGATAATTATGGAAAGAAGGCAGCTAAAATTTAACAAAAATTTCTATGAACATAACTATCAATATGGATGCAAAATAGAAAAAAAACTAAATCGAAAACTGTTTTATTCATTGAGATCTCAAATCTCGAAAATCAACGGAAATAAGGGTTACAGTACTTTAAAAAATATTTTAAGACCTTTAAGCATTTATTAAAAATTTTCTTTAGGCATATCTGAAAGCCCATAAAATTTGCTATAATATACAAAATGTCAAAATTTTTTAAAAAATTTATCCGTGTAAATGCTCACGCTAGAATAGCCGCATAACGATAATAGTGCATTTTTAGGCTATTTTTTGCTGGGTAGTTATTTAAGCTTGAATGCCGCAACGGATAAATTTTTTAGAAAGATGAGCCCTTTTGTATCTTGTAGCAAATTTTATGGGCTTTCATATAGCCTTAAAGAAAATTTTTAGTATTTGCTTTAAATAGGCTAAAATATTTTTTAAAGTACTGTAACCCTATTTTCCGTTGATTTTCGAGATTTGAGATCTCGAAGAAGGAATCAGTTTTCGACTTAGTTTTTTCTCTATTTTATATAGTATTGATAGTTATGTTCATGGAAATTTTTGTTAAATTTTAGCTACCTTATTTCCGTAATTATCGATAATTTTACAAACTGTTTGAGGATATTTGGAACGCTTGATTTTTCGAAAATTTATCATAACTTTTGATAAAATTATCGGTTTGTTCTAATTTTTTGTAGAATAGGGTAGTTTAATCTGCTGAATCAATATATAAAATGATTATAAAAAATAAACAACCGGAAGTCGATTTATCCGAAAAATTTAGGGTGTCGAGGTTTTTTGGAACGCACTTTATATCTGCTTTACTATATGTAGCATATTATGAATATTATTAACTCTTTACAAACTTTAATTAATGTGTATTAGATTTTATTTGACATTTAAAATTTTTAGAAATTAAATTTAACTTTATTTAAGTCAGTAGTAAAGGAATAAAATGGTAAGAGGCAAGCTTTATGTTTAGGGAGAAACTCTTACGCGCGCGCCTTGGCAAAATTTTAAAATTTTTAATAATTGATTAGCCAAAATTAAAAATAAATTATGAAATAGCTATAGGCTAGTAAGCTATAGCCTAGCTAGCTATAGTCTAGTAAGCTATAGCCCAGCTAGCTATAGTCTAGTAAGCTATAGCCCAGCTAGCTATAGTCTAGTAAGCTATAGCCCAGCTAGCTATAGTCTAGTAAGCTATAGCCCAGCTCTTATGTTTTACGATAAACGCGCCCAGTCTTGGCAATAATTTAAAATTTTCAATTATTGATTAGGCAAAAATTTAATGAGAATTATGAAAGAGAAGTCAAATAAAAAAATTAAACAAAAAAATTAAATATTAAAACATAAGAATAAGTCGGACCTTAAACTTAAAACATTGGGGCTAAAATATCTCCCAATAAACGCTAAATAAAAGAATAAAAGATATTTTAGTTTTAATAATTGATTAGCCAAAATTAAATAGAGAATTATAAAGAGAAGATAAATAAAAAAATTAAATAAAAAGTAAAAGTTTAAATTTGTAAGAGTTTAAAACTTATTGCCAAAAACAAGACAATACGAAAGTTATACCGTTAATAATCAGTTTTCGATGAAGTATTGGCCGTTGTTTACCAAGGGCCTATATCAATTGCCCGCAGATTCTGCAGTTTGTACAGACAGCAGAGCAACAGAATTTTTATAGCAATTGTTCCGCTGATTCTGCGTACACAGAATCAGCGATAGATACACAGAATCAGCGGTAGTATAATATAATAAATAAACAAACATCCTTAAACCCCAATAAATGTTTTATTTTTACAAAAAGATTCAATAGAAACTATTGATGTTTCAAAATAAAAGGTACAATATAGACAAAAATAACTTTTACATAAGAATAATAAATCTCTGGAATAAACTACCTAAAGAAATTCTTGGCATTAAAACACTAATAACATTTAAAAAATATTTAAAAAGACTTTTCCTAAATTGTCGCCTTAGTAGTTTTATTAACCCATTAAAATCTAAATTTAAAAAATTTTATAAAAAATTTTTTTTTCTTTTTAATAAAATCTTTAAGATATAAATTTTACTTAAAATTTTCATAATATACTTTCATAAATATAGCTCTTTAAAAATATTTAAATTAAATCCTGTAAAATTTAAATTTTAAATTATTTTTAAAATCTTATTTTATTATTTTAAAATAAAAACATTTAAATCTTACTTATTACCTACTTATAGACAGTTTAATTTTTTATGTATATTATTTACATTTTTATGTATTGTTCAGCTGGATTTTTTTAAATTTTGTTTTATTTTTCAAAACTATAGTGTATGTATTCGTTTGATGTTGAAGGATTAGGGTCGGATGTTCGCTCCCATAAACTCATAAGATGATGTTCGCTCCCATAAACTTTTGAACTAACTAAAGCAGAGGAATTACTATAGCCCAAAGGAGAGGAATAGCTAAAGGAGAGGAATTACTATATCTGCTTTAATATATGTAGCATATTATGAATATTATTAACTCTTTACAAACTTTAATTAATGTGTATTAGATTTTTATTTGGCATTTAAAATTTTTAGAAATTAAATTTACTTTATTTAAGTCAGTAGTATAGCAATAAAATGGTAAGAGGCAAGCTTTATGTTTAGGGAGAAACTCTTACGCGCGCGCCTTGGCAAAATTTTAAAATTTTTAATAATTGATTAGCCAAAATTAAAAATAAATTATGAAATAGCTATAGGCTAGTAAGCTATAGCCTAGCTAGCTATAGTCTAGTAAGCTATAGCCCAGCTAGCTATAGTCTAGTAAGCTATAGCCCAGCTAGCTATAGTCTAGTAAGCTATAGCCCAGCTAGCTATAGTCTAGTAAGCTATAGCCCAGCTCTAATGTTTTGCGAGTAACGCGCCCAGCCTTGGCAATAATTTAAAATTTTCAATAATTGATTAGGCAAAAATTAAATAGAGAATTATGAAAGAGAAGTTAAATAAAAAAATTAAACAATAAAATTAAATAAAAATTAAAAAAGTTTAAAACTTATAAGAATCAGCGGACCTTAAAATTACAACTTTGGGACTAAAATATCTCCCGATATCCAAATAAATCAAAACCCTTTCAATAAATCCCTATTCAATTCATATCCATCGATATCCCATTTTATCAAGTAAACTCCTCATATATCACAATATCCCTTCAAACCTCCGGTATTTAGAGTTATGCATTGTTAAATCACTTAAATTTCGATAAATTTCCATTTAAAATTTAAAAAAAAATCAGAAAAAAGTTCAAATTTAGCAAATAAGCTATCATAAATGTTTTAATTTCAATCAAAATTAGAACCTATTTTGTCAAAATTTGGACATATTGTGGCCTTTTTCAACCTATTTCGGACCTATTTTGAAAATTTTTTGGACCTAAATAGGATCCTAATTTACGATTTTTGGACCTAAAAACACGCTCTACTTATATCCATTTCTATTTTTTAACTATAAATTATACTGTAAAGCATTTAGCTATTTAATTCCTAAGGCAATTCAGTAGCGGAGTGGTGTAATGGCTAACACATCAGTCCGGTATACTGAACATGCTGGTTCGCTCCCAGCGCCGAATAACCTTTTGCCCTAGCTAAAGGAGAGAAATAGCTATAGCCCAGCTGCTTAACTATACGTTCTGTTTAAATCCTAGACAATTTTTATACTATCCATGCCGTATCCGTCCGTCAGCTATCACGCCTGATTTTTCGTTTATTTTCCCCCTAAATATTACAAGTGGTCATTGGCACAAATACTTAATTTTATTAAAATTTATCTGGCAAAATCGAATCATAAAAAACACAATATATCAACAAACAAATGATTGATTTTGTGTTATGTGGTGTGGTTAAGAGAAATATAGAAACAATTTTAAAAATAATTTTAAAAATAAAATAAATTTATTGTGCAAATATTAGCGCAAACGTGAAAATAAAATGAGACTAATACGATATTGCGGTCAAGAGACCTCGTCAAATTTCAACGGAATACAGTCGAATCTTAATTAAACATATTATCAATTATGGGGGAAATTATGAAGGGGAAAAGTCTATGTAGGCTGAGGTGACCTATAATTGGGTGTTGGCTTAATAGAGTTCGCAGGTCCTGAGGAATGGGGTTTTCGAGTCGGGCCGACGATTTTTTCTGGCCTCATTTTTATCAGGCCGGCCCGATCGAAATTTTTTAGGACTTCATTTTTATCTGGCCGGCCCCACCGAGTCTTTTTCGGGCCAAAATTTGATGCGAATTCGATCTCTTTCGGACCGGGCCAGATCGGGTCCCCAACCCTACTGGGGAATCCACAGTATACGGTTCCGAAATCCAAACTTAAAATTCTCGATATCCTGACATATTCGGAATGGACATCCATATCCTCCAACCTTAGCTACTAACAACCAATGTCCAATATCATAGAAATTGTTCATATAATAGAGAGGGTGAGTGAATCTGGGTGAAAGATAAACTAAGATCCGACTGTAATTTGAAAAAAGATTTGTAAAAAATTTTCATAATGATCAGTTCGATTGCATTTAATTTTTGGTATGGAAAGCATTTGGTACTATGAAATGCATAAAATGAAAATGTAGAAGGATTTCAATAATTTCGGCAAAAAAATTTTACAGTCGTCGTAATTATATTGAAATTAAGAATGAAAAAAATAATGACAATTGAAAATAGGAGTGTCGGGGAGATGAATATTTTTCTGAAAATATTTTTGAACAAATAAGTGTCGACCCTAGCTTTGGCCCTTGATTTAGGTCTAAAGGTAATGACTAGAGATCGGACTCAGGCTTTCGGCCCTTGGTTTAGGTGGTATCTTCATCAAAAATCTTCGTTATTGAGGTAGAGCTTTTTCGACTGAGCTCTTCATTGAGGTAGTGCGACACACACAGTCCTAGTGCGACACTCCCACTCCCAGTTCTCATGCGACACTCACATTCCGATCTCAAGTTACGACCTTATCAGGAAATAGTTTTCAGAAAAATTTAAATTAGTTTATAGGACCGAGTTGCTTGTCTAATAAAAAATAGATGAACGAAAAGTAAAAGATAAAAAGAAAATTATGGCAATCCCAAATAGGAATATTGTTTAAAAATAAAACAAAAAAAATTAAAATTTTGACTTCAAAGTCAAAAATAATCGGAAAAAGCTTTTAAAAATTAAAAAAACTTTCAGCCCAACAAACACTTATCGTCCTTAACCGAATTTGTTTCTTGTTTCTCACCTTCTTTCAAAACTTCTTGTTCAATCTGCTGATTTTCTTCGGCTTTATTTTCTTCTTTAATTTTTTTAAAATGTTTATTGTGATGCTGTTTAGCTGCTAGGGAAGGCTCGCTTTTAGCTCGTTTTAAATATCGTTGGTGCTTGTTTGATGCAACATCCTCATCTGTCTCAACTATTATTGGCACATCATCTTGTTTTAAATAAAAGAATTTAATAAGGTTAAAAAGACAGATCTGAATAGGTTATTTTGGAAGAGGTGGATGTCTATCGTAGTATATGGTAACTAAAATGGCTTTGAAGGGACGCTCTGACGTCCGAGGATTTCCCCTTTCAAGACGTGAATGCATGTGTCTATCGTAGTATAGTGGAACTCATGGGAGTTCGAAGGGTATGCCTCTGACGTAAGAGACATAATAGATTTTCCCGTTTAAGACAACAACTCCCTCCCACACTCTTTCCGTTATTGTGATATGCGTGGCGAGTCCGAACTTCGGATGGAGACCTTGAGGCCATTTTGAAGGCCTTAAATCTCGGGAAATAGCAACCGGAGTGAGAGGGAATTTTTATAAGAGAAGATATTCTACTCTAAGATATCGGATGTAGTCATCTCGATTCCATAGTGAAATTTCAAAAAAATTTGAAGCTAAAAAATTTTACCATGTTCTCCATCAGTTTGTTCCTGATCTGTTTTCGGATGCAATGCACGATAATGATGTTGTTGGAGCGAATAGCCAAATCCACCAATATATCCTGCACGTTTCTTAGGCTGTTCCTGTTGATGAATAGTCCTTTGAATTTTTGCTGAGAGGCGTCGACTGAGGCGGAAAAGGCCAGAATTTGATAGCTAAAAATTATACTAGCTATTTTATTTTTTATCAAATTTAGATAAAATTTCCCTAGTAAAGGGGGTATAGTTGGTTTGGGATTAATAGAAATAAGTTTCTCCCATTTAAGAATTTTAGAAAATCCATTATCCAAGGATATACGTAAATTTAAATCAAGTGTGATAGTATTATATACCGTATTTCCTCTAAAATAGTCCCAGCCTCTAAAATAACCCCCCCCCCTCTAGAGGACGATCAAAAAATAGCCCCGGCCTCTAAAATAACCCAGCCTCTAAAACAGCCCCTCTCCCCTAAAATAACCCAGCCCCCCCTAAAATAGTCCCCCTCCTATAGCCCCCATCCTATACGGTATCTGGAGATATATTAAACACATTCTCACACTAGAACCGACTAGAATGTGATACAAAAAAATTACAAAAATTCACCCTATCTGTATTTGCAGATTCACTCATAGCACTAGCACATTGCCTTCTAACAGAATGTCCATAGACAGAATCTAATTCACCACTCTCTCCCAAGTCCAAATTTTCAGCTCCAGACCCCCCAAATGTTGCTGCCAGCTTTTGTAAGTGTTTAGCACTCAATCTCATCGATTTTGCACTTTCAGCAAAGGCATTCTCGTTTTCATTGAACGTGTCAATCTCTTCCTCCTCGGTGTTGGTTGAAGGTATGTGTTCTTCAATTTTACGGTGTTCTTCAGGTGAAAGTGTCTTAGCGCTTTCCGCACAGCCAGAATCCGAGGAATCTGCTGATTTGTCCAGTTTGTGTGAATAGGCAAATCTTAAGTATAAGGGATATGAATACAAAAAGATTTTTGAAGGGAAGTTAGAGTATAAAGAAAGAAGTCAAGTTCCTCCTAACTAGAACGGCTAAAAAATTTTTTATGGCAACATTTCTCAGTCAATTTCTACGCAATCGACAGATGGATTCAAATGAATGGTTACTGTAACTCATTTATGATTTTCAATCTCCTATCGCCTATTATATCTCCTATCTATTCAAATAAATTACAATTAGGGGATCCAAATAAATTTCTTGTATTTAAAATTTAAAAATTTTTTAAAACTTACTGCTCTCCAATCTGCACTTTCTGAATAGCATTTTCAACTTCCCCTACCACATTTGTAAGAATACGGCTAGACCAACGATGGTGGCTTATTCTATCTATGCCCAAAGACATTTTGTCTTCTGGGTCTTTTTCTGTTGAGACAACTAAAAATTTTTTTATTTTGATAAATTCTTAAATCTGTGCCTCAAAAATACTAGACACACTTTGGGACACAAAAATCGGAATTTATAATGCGAGGTATGCTCCCTGATTTTGTGGCTAACATGAACCTCATATAAGTAACGTGACAAAAATTTTGCTCTATTAAAAGGGGTATATTGAATAAGCAGCTACTCCCACTACCTAGAGGCTAACCAAATTTAAAGATAGATCTACCTGCAATAGCCTCAACATCAGTAGAAATGATATCCTTTTCTGTTGAACAACAACGTCGAATTTTATAAAATAGACGAATAAATGGAGGCCTCTGTTTTGGCTTTCTGGGCAAGACAACAAATAAAATAAGTTGTGCAAATGCCAAAAGACTACCAATGCCATTTGGGGTCTTCAAAAATTTTTAATTAATTATAAAGAATTTCTTTGATACTCACAATCAAGTAAAAGTCCCATACTAATAGTCCATAAATAAACCATTCCGTAGAAACCATAAAGTTGGCAATACAGAGAGGGAGGGGTAAGGTGGATGTTGCACGGCGACGTATTACTACTCGCTTAAACATTAATTATTCTAAATTAATTTCCAAGCATTTTACCAATCCACTCAAGGGTGCAGCAAAGTCCATAGTGTTCAAGGTTGTACAGATAATCCCCAAAGGGTGAAAAACCTTTTGTCCAAAGATATGAGCCAAAGCTACAAGCGCTGAACAAATACCCAAAAGAAGAAGAATTTTGATTGAGATCCCAAGCTAAGTTAATAAAAAATGACTTTATTATTTTTTTAATATAGTTAATTATAGTTAATTCCACTATAAATCAGAACTAAAGTAATAATTCTGATGTAGTTAATTTTGTTTATTATAACTAGTATGGTTTATAATAATTTTGTTTTATATAATTATGTTTTATTATATCAAATTATATAAAATTTTGTTTATTAATTCTGATTTCTTAAATTCTGGTTATATAAGTCTGATTTAAAAATAATTCTGATTACTAATTTTGCTTTTTTATTCTGATTAGTATAACTCTAATATAAAAATAATTCTGATTTACTAATTCTGATTTTTTTGTTCTGGTTAGTATAACTCTAATTTAAAAATAATTATGATTTACTAATTCTGATTTTTTATTCTGATTAGTATAACTCTAATATAAAAATAATTCTGATTTACTAATTCTGATTTTTTTGTTCTGGTTAGTATAACTCTAATTTAAAAATAATTATGATTTACTAATTCTGATTTTTTATTCTGGTTAGTATAACTCTAATTTAAAAATAATTCTGATTTACTAATTCTGATTTTTTTATTCTGGTTAGTATAACTCTAATTTAAAAATAATTATGATTTACTAATTCTGATTTTTTATTCTGGTTAGTATAACTCTAATTTAAAAATAATTCTGATTTGCTAATTCTGATTTTTTTATTCTGGTTAGTATAACTCTAATTTAAAAATAATTCTGATTTACTAATTCTGATTTTTTTATTCTGGTTAGTATAACTCTAATTTAAAAATAATTCTGATTTACTAATTCTGATTTTTTTATTCTGGTTAGTATAACTCTAATTTAAAAATCGTTATGATTTTTTATATTCTGTTTATTATAACATATGTATATTTAATAATAATTCTTATTTATTAATTCTGATTAATTTAATTCTGTTTTTAGAACTCGGATTTAATAATAATTCTGATTAACTATTTATGTTTATTATAACTCTTTTTTACTAAATCTGATTTAAAAATAATTTCAGAATTTACCTTCTTTTTAGACATAAACCAATAGAATATAGTATAAGTAGAATAGAGCAAAATTTGTGTACCGGTTACATACATCACAGTATTGTCACCTTTTAAGTAAGCGTAGACAATCCAGCATGTGCCTCCAAGTACTCCCATAAGGAACGGGGCACCGCTGATTTCGTCCGTGTCTTTTCTTTTCCATATTTGACGGCAGATTGGGCTAAAATAAATTTTATAAATTTTGTTAAAAAATTTCCAAAATATTTTTAAAAATTTAAAAATTCTGACATTCCACAGAAGAACAGCCCTACTGTCGTGAAAAAGGCGAGAGTCGAAATAAATTTAATAAAAGTAAATTCTCCGTGGAATACGTCAAGCATTATGGAGGATTATTTGAAGGATTTGAAGCTTTTTTAAAAGAATCCTGTCGTCAAAATGGAGATTAATTAAAATTAAGCAAGGCTTAATTATATATAAAATACCTGAAAATTTAATGAAATTATAAAAATTTTATTTAAAAAAATTTTTTTTTGTAAAAAGAGATAGAAAATTTTGCCAAAAAACTTGTAGCCACCCATCTCTGGTCGTGTAAAAAATATTTTAGTGAGAGTAGGACACACTATGAGAAATGCACTACTAATATTTTAATTTTATTTTGACGTGAAAATAACAAAAAATTATTTTTAACACTTTACTTTTTGTTTGTTTATCAACTTTGTTTTTTATCTTTTTTTGCATAATTTTGGTCTGACCTAGTTTTTTCTTCCAAAAAATCACGTGAATTTTATATGCGAGATTTCCATATAATATTATTTATTGTCGCAATAATATTACTTTATGAATAAAAATAAATAAAAAACTTGAAGTAAGAGATAAAATGGAGATAGTTTATGACAATGATCAGAATTAGTTTAAAAAAGTATGGGTTAAGCAAGGATAGAGGGAATCGAGCTGCTGCAGCTTCCGTTTTAAAAAATAATGTGCTCCTCAATCAACAGTCTAAGCCCTCACATAATGCTTACTTGGTAAACCAAAGAAAAAAACGGTAATGAGGAGAATGCAGCAAAAAATAATTTTTGCAGAAATGCCTTTTGCGGACATATAGGCCACGAGCTGGACATATCCTGATCACTTTAATTGTTATCAATGTGATAAGTATCATTTACTACTGGCCCCGTAAACTTCCCACTGATTAAACTGATCAAAACGAAAATAATATATGTGCTAGATTTTTATTAAAAGTAGTGCCCGGACGGTACCATACTATGTCGGTATTTTTCGGTATTTCAGTTCGGAATATTATGCAGCACAAAATTTCGGTCTCTAATCAAAAGCAATTAGATCTTAGCTCTAATAACCTCCAAAGATGCTCCTTTTATATAATAAAATTTTAAACCACCCTAATTTTGTATTAGTCACAATAAATTTAATAATTAAAGGCTTCACACTTGCTGTAATAATATAAAAATGACCTCCTCTCGATAAATAAATTAATCATAGTTTAAAAATATAGTGAATAAGCAGTGAGACAAAAATGACTGTAAATAAAGTCTTCGAGAAAATGAGTAAATAAAATCAAAAAAATATTTGAAATAAGTACATAAAACGTGAAGAGAAAACAGAAAATTAATTTTGATTAAAGATATAGTTAAATAGGATAAGGAGAAAACATATGATCGGGATATGAAGAATGTGGCCTTCGACAAGAGGGTCTATAATATCAGATCAGAGTAAAAATTATAGAACGAAACTTGATAACAAAAGAGGATAAGCAGCAGTTAGGATATAGTCGGCCCAAACGACTTCATAAGAATAAAGTCGGCTTAGTATTCTTGCGGAACTTAACTTATTAAGCAAACCAAATTGTTAAACTGATGAGTTGGACGGAGTCAGGCTTATGAAATCTTAAAATTTAAATTGAATTAAGATATAGCGATCAGAAATGTCAGTTTAAAAAAGTAGTAGAGCCCGGGCGGTACCGTACTACAATGAATCAGTGTCCGGACTGTTGATACGGCTTTGGCTTACCGCAAACTATCATAATTCAAAAAATAAACTGGCTACACAGTCCTAAAATAAATATTAAAATTTTACTTTGTAAATTATTTTATTTTTCACAACGTAAAATAAATTTTACAATCGCTCGGACGATAACAAAATAAATTTTTATTTATTTTAAATTATTTAAATAGGTATTAGAATATTTATTTTAGATTTTTCTCAATTTCCCATGGCTAGTAAATAAGGAAAAATGGGCAATAAATACATGGTGTACTCATAAATGATAAAAATGCACTCAAACCGTTTCGGACTGCACTGAAAATTAAAAAGAAAAAAAATTGGGGAGAAAAATATTATCTCGATAAATATTTTTATGATGATCCTCTCCGTAATGCGAGAGAAGGGGGAAAGTGTTTTGTTTATGTATTATACGAAAGAGACCGCCCCGCCTTTATTTTGCCCTAACATTTCTTTAGAAACGCCCATGGTGAATTCCAGTGAAATATAATTTATTAGTTTTATTTTGAATATAATATTTGAATATCAGAATTTATACAATAGAGAATATAATAGTGTAATTATCAGAATAATAAACTTATCAGAATTTATTTAGAGTTAATGTTTATTTTAAATAATTAGAATTCAGAATTATGTATAATTATGTATAACAAACAGAATTTAGTATACCTATGAAAAATTAAAAATAAACTTAGAATCAGAAAAAGTTTATTGTCTGATTCAATCTACTCTATGATATCAGAAAATAATGACTTTAAAAAAATCAGAATAATAAGGCTGATTAAACCAGAACCTTATAATAAACTTTATATATAACTGAATATGATTTCTGAAAATATTTTTAAATTTATTTATGTGTTATTTTCTAATAACAAGTTTACTATTTATAAAAGAATTTTTTATGTGTTTAAATTAGTGTTACAAAGGGAATTTATTTTGAAAAATTAAAATAAGTAATTAATTAATATTGAAATTAAAAGAAAAAAGTACTTTTTGGCCTTCTCTTTTTGGCCTTCTTTTTTTTTTTTGGCCTTCTTTTAAGTACTTTTTGGCCTTCTTTTTGGCCATTATCATGAAACCAGAATTTCGACTTTTAAAAATTATTCAAATAAATTTTCGAACATAAATGAGTAATAAAACAAGAATTTAGATTGATAATAATAGAAATATAAATTATATTTAAATATAATTTTTTAAAATATATTACAAAATTTATAAATTAACTTTAATGGTAATTAAAATATTAAATTATCATGAAACCAGAATTTCGTAAATTAAAATAAACCATAATCATACAACTCGAATATACAATGGAAATAAATAATTATAAAACCAGACTTATTACAGAATTTATATAATACAATTATTAAATTAAATCAGAAAATATAGAATATCTTAAAACCAGAATTTTAGATAAAACCAGAATAGTATAACTCTAATATAAAATATAAATAGTTTATTCGAAATCAGAATTATTATAATTTTAATTCACAATTTCTATAATATAATAGGTAATAAATTAAATCAGAATAATTAATAGAATAAACTTAAACCAGAATTTATAAAACTTAAATAAACTTAAACCAGAATTCTGAAATTAAATAAACAGAATTTATAAATCTAATATGTAAGTAGAGAGTGAACAATTATAAATCAGAATTATAATCAAACCAGAATATAATTAAACTTTGATTAAAATTTTCTTTAATTATTTTTAAATAATATCAGAATTTAATAACCATAAAATTAAAATAAAGGAATATTTAATATATAAATCAGAAATGAAATATTTATGAACGGATATTCTGAATTTATTTATATTGGCTCTTGTCCAGTTTATGCGTCCCATGAAAGTATATGCGTCCCATCAACAAAAAATTGGATTTTTCTTAGTGTTGCAAAGTAGGGGTATGGTTCCAAAGCATTTCTTCATGTTCGGGATCTACGTCCACTGGGTCTGGGACCGTTCCTTACCCTATACCTCGAAATTTCTGAAAGGTAAAATCGTTTTTCTGAAATTTTTAAAAATTGGCTATAACTTTCAGAAATTTCGAGAGATAGGGTAAGGAATGGTCCCAGACCCAGTGGACGTAGATCCCGAACATAAATAAATGCTTTGGAACCATACCCCTACTTTGCAACACCAAGAAAAATTCAATTTTTTGTTGATGGGACGCATATACTTTCATGGGACGCATAAACTGGACAAGAGCCTTTATATTTATAGCACAGGAATTAAAATAAATTAAGGGCATATCCGGATGAAATTTGGTCTTTAAAAATAATTGAAAAAATGCGAACGTCTTAAATTTATTTTCTTTTCAATAATTTTTTATTTAAACCGTTTTTAAGTAAAAATGCCCCAAAATTTGGCCAATTTTATTTACGAATTTATATCAAAACTACAGTTAATTATTTTAATACTCATATTTTAAAAAATATTTTTGGCCCGGAAATATACAATAAAGGTTTTCTTTCCCAAATTAGGTTGACAAAAAAGGATGAAATTTGAGAAATAAAAAATTTGAACGAGAAAATGGCAATCGCATTTTAGAAAATATTTGTCATTGAGAAAGTAAATTAGCCATAATTTTAGGAAGATGAACATAATGGATATGAGAAGGGTTAATTTTTAATATTTATTTTATTTTAGATTTTTTAAACATGAATAAAATTATAGTTCAACATTTTTAAATATAATACTTATCAAAATTAGAATAGGTAAATATGAAATAGATTAATAATTATTAAAGCAGAATAAGAAAATAGTTAGAAATAAAAGATCAGAATTAAAATATAACTATAAGATATAAAATTGAAATCAAAATTAAAATAATTATCGTAATAAACTTAAAATCAGAATTTTAAAAATAATGTTAAAATCAGAAATAAAATAACAATGAAATAGAACAAACATTGAAATCAAAATTAAAATAACTATCAATATAACTTTAAAATCAGAATAAAAATCAGAATAAAAATAAATTTAAAATCAGAATTATAAATTGAAGTTAAAATCAGAATTATAAAAATAAGCTAAAATCAGAATTATAAAAATAAATTTAAAATCAGAATTATAAATATAAAATTAAAATCAGAATTATAAATATAAAGTTCGAAACAGAATTATAAATATAAAGTTAAAATCAGAATTAAAATAACTATGAAATATAGCATGAAATCAGAATCAAAATAATATTGAAATCAGAATTAAAATAAGAATAACACCAAGAATAAAAATCAGAATTAAAAATTCTGATAATAATAAAATTTAAAGATAAATTTTTGAGTTCTGTTTTATGACAATACGTTAAATAAATTAAATCAGAATATACTTTTTAGCCATGTTCTGTTTTATGAC